ACGATTGTCTAAGCATAGTTGCAACAGGCGATCACCATTATCGGTTCGTTGAGCCGGAATACTAAAACAACCACCTACATGTCTTTCTGTTTGATGTAAGCTGCCTACCTGGGCATTAAAGTCACCCTCTACGACTACTATGTCTGAGCGCTTAGCTTTCTGAAGAAACTCAGAGAGTTTTCTGTAAAAGTCATTTTTCACTTCATCATGGCTGCAGTCAGTGGGAGCGTAGGCAGAAACGACGAAGAGGCAATGACGTGTGTCCCTATCCTTCCGAGTTCTTACGGAGCCATTCAGCCGGACAGCACACAGGCGACTGTTAACGGGGATCCATTCTAGTAGTGCCTGTTCTGCTCTTGTACTTAGTGCTATGCCTACACCTGCAAGTCCACGAGAACTAGCCAACGGGTCGCCAGATACACGGAGGGTGTATTTCGTTGGCTGTCCATTTTGGCGAGGTGAGGTCAAGTGAATGACAACACTAGGATCCTGTATGCGTGTTTCGGAGACACAGCATACATCAATGGTACGAGATTCTAGGGTTTTAGCTAAGGAGGCCTGTTGACCGATTTGACTTAGGGTACGTACGTTGAAGGCTCCAATGTGTAGTTTGGAGCGAGGTTTTAGTAGACCTGGGACAGCGTTTCGCGCACTAGAATCGTTGGCCATGGTTACACTTGTGGAGGAAACCGAAAGAGGAAGTTTAGTGTTGAAAGTCAAGGTAGAAGGAATAGTAGGAATTAAAGGAGGAGATTGATAATGAATACAGTGGTCTTGAGTGCTGTTAGAGGTATGAGGGCAGTTATCACTTCCCGGTTGCCCACACCATGGAAGGGTTCTTCTAGAGGTACCTGAAAAGGAAATTGGGTTAGAAGTGGTCTTAATGACCTGAGAGTATGACCGCAGTGCCCAAGGGACAACTGCTTGAGGTCGGTCACACACGACCTTTTTGTGGGTAGTTTTTGTGTTAGCTTCGTACTTGTTGGGACCTTACCGCCGGAACGGATATCCGTGGGAAAAGGCGAGGTGTGCATTTTTAGGGTCGACCTTTTCTAACTCCACCCCTCCTTGTGGGAAGGCAGCATCGCTGTCATGCTGGTTGTCCTAGGGAAACACCTTACTACTGTCACACCTCTGTACAGTCAGCAGTACGACTTCGCCTTCGGACCTTGGGTTTGCTGCTTTTAGTTTCACCGCTCTTCAAACGACCTGTCTGGCATGGTAGGACCTTGAGGAACGATTGTTCCAGCCAGCATAGCTCGATTGAATCATCACGATAGGCAAGCCCGACCACCACGTCAAGGTAGCAGCAACGGTCAGGATAGAACTATACAACACCAACTGAATACTCTTTTGAATTGTTTAGACTTTTTAGTCGTCTTTTTACCATATATCGTTGGTCGCTGTGTATTAATACATTTTGCTACTTCCCTCTATCGCATTTGCAACTGCACTATGACTTAGAAATTGTTATACGCTACAATAACGATTTAAAATTAAGTCATAGGTAACTATAATGTCAAAATATAAGTCATGTGCACAGGAAGCGAAAATCTGCAAATGATCAAATCAATATAATAGGTAACAGATCTGTGATGATCACTGACAATATGTGAATTCGCATTAGGTATAGATTACCTGATTTTTTCTCTTATTGAAATTGGTTAGGTTGAAAATTTTGTAATCGGAGTTGTTTACATACAATAGAATAGAATGAGTTGCTTAGTTTAATTTACTTAGTGATTGGATCTGTATGTATGATCCAATACATATCTTTTTCAACGATGACTTCTTAATCTGATCCCATCTCAATCAATTCTATCACTTTTGAATCCTTCGTTTTTCCTAAATACTTTTCTTCTGGTTGCTTATTCCCACTTTACGGTTAAGAAATAAGTTGTTAATATTGTTGAGGGATTTATGGAGAACAAAGAACTTTCGTAGTTTAGATCATGGATCGATTTCAGGTAGGCCACCGTTGAAATCACTGAAGCATTGGACAGCTTTTTCGTCCTGGTATGGAATTCCTCAGCAGTGAGTATGCACGACCTCGCCAGGAAGAATCAAACCCAGCACTTATGGTTGCACATTATTGTGAATTGATTGAACTTAAGCATATACACCAGCTCAGTGATCTAGAGGTTAAGTATTTCCTCGTACGACTGAAAGCCTTAGGTGCTGTCCTTTGTGTAACGGTCTTGATTGTGTATTAGCATGTCAGGAAGAAACAGATGTCCAGTATTTTCATGTTTTCAATAGTGGTCTACTTAAGATCAGTTCATGATTAAAACTATGAAAATATAATTGTAATTTAATTTAAATCTAATCAATAAACACATACAAGTGTATTTACTCGTCTTCGAGTTGTGTACAAAATTGGTATGACTATGCAGCTGGCTGGAACTAAAGTTGATTGAACACAGTTTGAAATTGTAACATAAATGCTGAATAAGTTGGTTACTATGGTACCATTTGAAATTAGGCATTTAACGACTGTTATTCATAGTGCTGCTGCATTAAGCAGTCAATAGTATTAACTGAATACATCTTGAAGATAATTAAACTAACCTATTGTCTCATTGAATAAAAAAAATAAGGAGAATTCAACGAAGAAAATTTTCTTTTCGACGAAATCGTTCACTTAAGCTGTACATTGTTATTTACAGTTATATGGAAAAGACATATCTATAGAAGAATAGAAAAGATTACATTATAAATTGATTCGAAATTCTTATTATCAGATGAGGTTACGCAATAATTAAGGGTAAGAGAAGAATATAAGGCAAGAAATAATTTACGGGTCTAAATTATAAAAGATAATCTTGAAAGTTAGAAAGGGGTTTTGTGACTGGCTCCATAAGGTATTTCCTGGAGTTCTAATGAGAAGCAGTAACCAGTGGAGTTCAACCAGGTCTGTTGTGAGATAGTAACTCACTAAAAACAATGGTGAATGGTTGCTCAATTTTGTGGATTGGCTGAAGTTAGACATTAACACCATTGGATGCCAATGGGCTAATTGGTCTAGAGGTTCAGCGTTCGCGCACGAGACTGAAGGGTGCTGGTTTCGGAACTCGCGAGACAGGATCGTGGATGCACGCTGCTGAGGAGTCCCATAATAGGACAAAATGGCCGTCCAGTGCTTGCACGTTTTTCATGGTGGTCTGGCTTCAATCAATTCATGAAAATACTACTTTGAGAAGAGTATATTTTACAGTGGTTAATTTGTTTTCTTTACAGGTTACTGAATCAACTTTATTGATTTTATCCAAATAGTCTTTTTCAACATTGGGAAAAATGATCGACTGACTACAAATTATTTTCTTTAAAATAAACAATAAGTTTTGTTTACAATCAAGATAAATCATCGATAAATTACATCATTTATAAACAATAAACAATCGATTAAATAACCAGAATGGGGTTTTGTGAAGATTTTAGTACTTTTATATAGTTGAGATCATCAGTCAATTGAAGGTAGACCATAATGGAAAACCTGTAAGTACTGGATGGCCGTTTCGTTCTATTGTGAGACTCCTCAGAAGAACAAACATTTTATTGACAGTTTTTAAAAACTAGGTAAAACTAGACAACTATTTCTTCCTCATATGGAACTCCTTAGTTGTGTATATCTTTGGTTTATTATAAATTGAAGAGTAATTTTCTTCATAGACTCTATCAACTGAATAACTATTGTTAGCTGGACGGTATTGGATAGCTACCTTGTTCAAGTCTGTGACACAACAACAGTGTCCATTCAAGATTACGCACAAAATTCTGTCGATAAATAAAGGTTATGATCTACCAAGTAAAACTAACTATACTTTAAAATGTGAAACAGGATATTTAAACATAATGTTTGAGATGGGATCGTAATCAGTTCAATGCTGGAATCAATGCTAAGTATTAGCAACAGTCAATCAAATAAATATCTGGTTTACTCCTAATCCATAAATTTCTTGATGTTGGGATTAAAAAACTAAAATCCTTGGTTATGGTAGGTGATATAAATCATAATAATGTATTTAAACTCATCCAGAGAGTCAAACACTGATAATCCTGCACGTACAGTTAGAGATGGTATTGTAATGAACAAGGCACGACTGGAGACAATCGAATGTATTTAGACAGAAATTACAAACTATCTCACTAAATTCTGATAACCATACAACAAACAGTTAATTAGCAAAATAACAACCAATTGTCTCAATCTTCACTGTTTCTTCTGTAAATATCAGTTCATCTTCTCTAATTTCATTGTTCATGCATTTTCCCACCAACTGCGCTTCATTTCAGTTCTTTCCTTATGGGTTTTCTGTTAAAATACATTCTATATCTGAACATCACCATGTACTACTTATGTGGATATAAGTAGACAACACCACAGTATCATTAAACGTGATGGACAATAATGCATCCTCAAAAATAATAATAGACTTATTAGTGACTTAGTAAAATGTTTAATCACTTAAATTAGTGATCACATCACTACTTAAACAATAGAATCTGATAACCTTTAACATCTAGAAAAAGTGTTGTATGTTACTAATCAGCAGTTCAATAACTATTAGGGTAATTTCCACCCAAATATCTAAATGTCAACACTTCTGACTGCAATTCAAAGTGATTGTGATTATAGAACTCTTCAGGGAACGTCAAGTGCTTGCTAAGCATAAGTAAACCTTGTTTGTGTGTACCGGCTAGCATAATATTTAGACCCAGCGATTTTGGTGTATACCTTCAATCATATGACGAAATTCCATTATCTGACAGTTTTTTTAAACATGTGCGTACTTCTTGATGAAGATTGATAACAGACTCAATAGAAAATAATGTTTCAAGGACTTTTAGCAATTATTTTCAGTAATTGGACATCTCATTATGCTTCATTTTAGTCATATTGCTTGTTCGATAAACGGGAACTAACCCAGTGTACTATTCATCACCCTTCAATTTCAACTATTTTACTTCATATTGTTCTTTTTTTTAAAAAAAATAATTAGGTTATTTCAATTATTTGTGTTGCTGTATGGGCAATTAATATCGGACATTTTAATGATCCAGCACATGGTGGTTCTTGGTTAAAAGGCGCCATTTATTATTTTAAAATTGCTGTCGCCCTAGCTGTTGCTGCTATTCCTGAAGGTTTACCAGCTGTGATTACAACGTGCTTAGCATTGGGTACACGTAGAATGGCTGCTAAAAATGCTATTGTTCGTTCACTTCCATCAGTTGAAACATTAGGTTGTACAAGTGTTATTTGCTCCGATAAAACAGGTACACTCACTACAAATCAAATGAGTGTATGCAGAATGTTCATATTTTCTAAAGCTGATGATAAAGCACCAGAAGTACATCACTTTGAAATAACTGGATCTAAATATGCACCAGAAGGTGAAGTGTAAGTTACATATTTTGATGGGAAGTTACTTTATTTCTTAAATTATTTCTGATAACACAAAAGATTCATTTGGTCTTTTAGAAAAAGCTAGAATAGTAGCTTACAGTGGAATCCAGGATGAGTCCCAAATAGAATGAAACATTCATCCTGGATTCCATTGCTAAAGACAACTGAACCATGTGACTAAATGAGAATATCGAAGTGATCCACACACCATATACGAGTGTCGAAAGAGACCGGTCACTTGTAGTCCATAGTTTTAGCAACGAGAAGGTGATTAGGAAAGGAATTGATAAAAATGTATCTCATGCTATAGTTAATATTCACCGGTTATTAATATCATATATGGAACTATTAAAGGATTATTGAAATATAGGGTGTTGTTTGTGTTAAATTCAACGATAATCATGTATCTGTTCAAGTCTGCAACATAAGTTACTCAGCATTCCATTAAGGTTATCATGATATATGTGTGTTTGATAAACGAGGTCATGAACAAGTGCCGATTGACTTTAATAGTTTACGTTTGCAATAAAATGATAAGTTGAGCTAGAACAGAAAGTACTGGAAACTGAAGCGCAGCCTTTTGAATAAGTGTCAACATCATGAAAAAAGGAATCACAATGAATACATCTCTTCAGTCCTCTTCACTTATGGACTACACATTAGAATAGATCTCTAATTCAATAATAACATGAAAACAACTGTTATTACTTAACGGTACTGTTTACTAGTATCAATCTTTATGTAGGTGAGGAATATTACTCCTTTAACTAGCGTACTATATTCATATATTTATAATTTACACATGAATAAATAAATAAATGAATAATGATGTCATTTGTCCAACTTAGCTTTATTGAACACTAATATAGCTCAACTACATAGAAATAGAACGTAAGAATACAATACAATACTCAATTTACATGATCAGTCATCATGTATTTTTCGTATATATATATATTCATCTACCAATTTGATGAAAGGCATTAAAAGTACAATTGTGGTGTGGGTTACTTATATCCATATAAGTAGTATATAACGATGGTCAGGCATAAAATATATTTCAGTAGAAGATCGATAAGGAAAGAACGAAAACGTAACGTAATTGATATGAAAGTGCATGAACAATCAAATAATATCTTTGTTTTGATCTAGGTTACTAAGTATTATATATTTTAATAGTATATGTACTTAAGATTGTTTGTCATTATCATTCAAACTTACATTTATTTTATTTAGTTTAAACACATAAATATTGGTACAATCGGGCACCAGATATATATGCGCGACACAAAACTCATTTGATTTGTGTGAGGGCTGTGATACTGTCCGGGTGCCCAAACTGAAGCAGGTGGTTTTCTTAGACGACCACACCCGGTGCCTTTGACTTAAAAACCTGATCCACAAGGCAGTGGAACAACGTAAGAAGATTCAGTCCCATGGTAGCAGGTGACTAACGATTGATTCATACACCACTTGTTCTCTAAGGGTGCTAGAGCCCATGTACACCATTGGTTTGGAACCAGAGTTTTCCAACTGCTCTAGGTGGGCTTTCCGTGTCCACGAACCCGGTTAAAGCGCCGGACATTCGCTTTTCGGTCCCTCAATTTCGTAAACAACACCCCTGGTGTGAGAATGCGATTAGTAAAATTTACCTGGCAGAGGTTGTATACGCGTGTCCATGTGAGAGAATTTAGACAGGGAGAGTGGACTCTCCCCACTCTTGGCCGTACCAAAATTAGAGTTTTTTCTGCAATTATAATCATTTCATAAAGCCGTTAAAATATATTATTTATCAGGACTCAGTGGCCGAGTGGATAATGCGATGGCGTTTGAAGCGAGGGTACTGGGTTAGAGTTCCAGAGTGAACATAAACTCTGAGATGCATGTACATCCAGCTGACGAGTCTCAAATAGGACGAAACGCGAGTCAAACAGTATTCCACTGCTAGCCACTATCCATCTCTGCTTACCATGCTTGTGAATTAAGCCTATATTGAGGCAATACGCACAGTATGCGCATATGCCAATTAGAGACTGACCAGTTGCAGTCCTAACAAATCGATGGGAAGATTCAAACAAACAATACTGAATAAATATTATTTATCTGTTATAATATTTCTCTTTTACATATGTCAACAGATTATAGTTTTGCTTTAAACTTTGTTATCAATATAATGACTGTATGATAACGGTTAGAGTTTAAAAAGTAAGCCAGGATCAGTATAATTTAAATATGTTAAAGCAATTACTCATTGAAGAAAATAGAACATGGTTGGGCTATCATAAAATTCTGTGTAAAACTATTGGATATTGGCTCAGTAGTCTAAAGCGTAGGCTGCTGATTTGGGATCTGAAGGTCCTGAATACATGGAGTTAATTAATACTTTTTGTCAGAGAATTTAATTAGATCTTTTAAAGTCTTTGCCTTAGTAACAGTTACATACCTTGTAAGTAATGTCTCTATAATCATAAAATTACTTTTTAATGATTATATACCTTATTATTAATTTTCTATTCATATAGATTTTTAAATGGTCAAAAAGTTGAATCTGGTGAATATGATGGACTTGTTGAAGTTGCAAATATCTGTGCTATGTGTAATGATTCAGCTATTGATTATAATGAAACTAAACATGTTTATGAAAAAGTTGGTGAAGCAACAGAAACTGCATTATGTTGTTTAGTTGAAAAAATGAATGTTTATAAGACTTCAAAATCTGGATTATCTAAAAAAGATTTAAGTATGGCTTGTAATCATCAAATTCAGGTATATCGAAGATTTTGGTGGTTGTTTGTTTTTTTGACGGTGTTAATGAACTGTATTTTATTTATTGGTAACTATCAAGAGGGGTTTTGTGGAGATTTAGTATTTTCATAGTTGAAAGCGTGAGTCAATTGAAGCTAGATCACCATGGAAAACCTAGAGGCACTGGACGGCCGTTTCGTCCTATTATGGGACTTCTCAGTAGTGTGCATCAAAGATCCCACACTCGCGAGATTCGAACCCAGGACCTACCAGTCTCGAGCCAGAGCAATTAATCGATAGACCACCGAGCTGGTCGGCATCCAACGGTGTTAATGTTTAACTTCAACCAATCCACGAAGTTGAGCAACTGTTCACCAATTGTCTTCAGTGAATTGATATCTCACAACAGACCAGTGCTTCCAGGTTTTACATGGTGGTCTGGTTTCAATTGACTCACGCTTTCAGTTATTGGTAACTGTTTGTTTGAAGACAATTCATTTTAGGACAGCTTTCTTTTGCTCAAACTTCATTGTGATGGGATGTATATTCAATTCGTTTAAGCTAATAAAATATTATTTAACCAATCAGCAGTTACTGTTACTTTAGTATAGGGTCTGCTTTGTACCATTTGAATCCAAAATGCTTCCCAAAGACTGTCAGGGGCTTACGTTTGAACTTACATTTCGTGGTCATCCATTTAAATTCATCTAAAATTTCATGTATCTGAGTAGTTGTGTGCACTGCTGTTAATATGAAAGATAAAATTCATCTACAAACAGTTGCGATCATATAGTCTTATACTGACCTAGCTCATCTTTGGATCAACTGTGATGTTAGTTTGGTTGTGAAGGTTTGAATAATTTTGTTTCATTCAATTCATAATATAGCATGATCTGTATCCAACATTATCAAGGAGCTATTGTCTTCTTACTCAACAACCCAATTACGAAACTATTTGAGTTTGATTATTACCCTGAAGAAGTTCAGACAAGTTAGTTGGACGAAACATTGGAATTATTTAAATTTCTATCACTGAGATTATTTCATTTATATAATTTTTCACATATAATATCATCCCATTGTATAGAATTTCATCTCTTTAAGATGAATATAATTAATGGACTTTGTTGAAATCCTTCATTAATAGTATAATGTGAATAATAAATCATTGGTAAACCAATTTGACAAAACAATATGAACTAATTACTAGGTACTTATGATTACCAGATTATTACTATTATAAGTAAAGTAGTTGTTTAGTGACATTTAAAAGAAAACTAAAACTAAATGTCATTCATTAGTAAAAAAACATTGTTTTACAATACGTGTAATTAGTAATTGACAATATCAGAAGGAGTTTTTGTGGGTATTATAGTAATTTCAATAGTTGAGATCATGAATCAGTTGAAGCTAGACCAACATGAAAAATCTGGAAACACTGGACGTACGTTTTGTCTTATTGTGGAACTTCTCAGCAGTGCATGGATGTGCACTGGTCTAGAGGTTAGGTGCTCGCGCGAGAAATTGATTGGTCCTGGGTTCGAATCTCATGAGGCGGGATCATGGATGCGCACTGCTAAGGAGTACCATTTCCATGGTAGTCTAACTTCAATTGACTCATGGTCTCAACTATATAACAGTAAGGTTTTATTGAAATATAATTTGAAATTTTCATTATATATACTAAACATAATACAGTTTAACTAGATGCCATAAATAACATGAAATAAATGTGATTTTGTCATTTCAACTGTTCATTGAATGACTTGTTCGAACTTGGATATATAAACATATCCTATTTTCATTACAAACTATTAAGTTCTGATTACCTATTTACTTACGAGATAGTCAAACTCGAACTTGAAAAACTAGAAACCTTTAACTATTCTCAAAATGCATGAGACTACTCTTCAAGTTTCCAAATGTATTTTACAATTATTCATGTAAATAGCTTATTTATTTATAATATTTATTATATATCTATTTTGACGTTTTAAACAATTTCAGGCTATGTGGAACAAAGAGTTCACTCTAGAATTTTCACGTGATCGTAAATCAATGTCTGTTTATTTACAAGTTAAACCAGCGTTTGCATCCAAAGTTCCAAGTACTGCTGGTTCCGGAGAGACAGGACCTAGAATGTTTGTTAAAGGTGCTCCTGAAGGTGTATTGGATCGATGTACATTTGTACGTATAGGCAATAAAAAAGTACCTATGACACCTCCATTGAAAGCTGAAATAGTAAAACATGTAGCATCTTATGGAACTGGTCGTGATACACTAAGATGTTTAGCTTTAGCAACATGTGATGCACCAGTAAACAAAGCACAAATGGATTTAGAAGATTCGACTAAATTTGTTAAATATGAAGTAAGTTATATGATTTTAAGGTGAGACGAAATTTTGTATAAACAAACTGGGTACAATATGTTACGATGAAGCAGTTCAGTTAAAGATAATTGGTTAACAGCTATTAATTTGAACTTGGTGTTTAAATGAAGTCGACAGGATTAACTAATTTTTTTCCTAATCTATCAATTTTTGGATGAGTTACGAGATATCCATACCGAACAATCTAGAGAATGGGGGTAACTAATTGTAGACCATCAACGTTAATGATCTATTGGAGGCCTAATCGAGTTAGACGAGAACGGTGTAACGAACAAGCTAACTTCGAAGTCCCACCTCGCGACCAGCACCATACATGGATTGCCCCATCGACGTATCAAGGGACCATGGATGCTCTGATGACTGTACAACACAAAGGACGTTATTACAGGAAGATATATTAGTTAAAGTAGATACAAGCGGAAGTAGAACCACTGCCGCATGGGCCAGTCCATGGAGTATGATTAAATGATGCGCGTTGATTGTCATTGATCATGACGGGGATAGATGATCTGTTCGATATTTAGTGACCCAACTGCCGGATGATTTGTCTAGGGTTCGGTGACATTTCTCAAGCCCTACATAATCTTCCAAAGTATTAAACTATATAAATAATCACTTCAATACAAGAGATATAACATCACTTCTTACCTCGTAACATATTCAAGCGTATAACACGATGTCTAAAATCTATATTGTTGTCAAATTATTAGATTCATTAGACTCGATATTCATATAGTAGTCCATTGAACAATATACCCTAAATGAAATAATGTCCTAACCTTGATATTATTTGTTTGAATCTTCCTATTAATGTTTAGGACTACAATTTATCAGTCTCTTATTGGCCATATGTGCATACTGTGCGTATTGCCTAGATATAGACTTAATTCACAAAAATTATAAGCAAAAATGTTCTAACCTTTCAACTCAATAAGTGATATTGTAAATTTAACACATAGATCAATGTATAGTTATTCAGAAGGGAGACTGATAGATGCTGGTTTTGAATCTCGTGAGGCGAGATCGTGGATGAGCACTGCTGAAGAGTCCCATAATAGGAGGAAACGGCCGTACAGTGCTTCCAGGTTTTCTATTGTGGTCTAACTTCAATTGAGTCATGATCTCAACTGTATAGTTATTCAATTGTATTATTTATGAATTATTTCTGTTATACTACCTGATGCGTAGACATTGAATTAATACTCAAATTTCATTTTGATATAGATCAAAAAGATATAATAATGGTTTTAGAATGAATCAATTTTGTACCATAATTCCCTACTTTCATTTAGCAAAATTTAACATTTGTTGGAGTTGTCGGTATGTTGGATCCACCACGTATGGAAGTATTTGACAGTATAGCAAGATGTCGTAAATCTGGTATACGTGTTATTATGATAACTGGTGATAATAAAGCAACAGCTGAAGCTATTTGTCGACGTATTGGTATTTTCAGTGAAGATGAACCAACTACAGGGAAATCTTTTACTGGACGTGAATTTGATGCATTACCAATTGAAGAACAAAGAGAAGCATGTAGACGAGCAAGATTATTTGCACGTGTTGAACCTATGCATAAAAGTAAAATTGTAGAATTTCTTCAAGAAGATGGTGAAGTATCTGCTATGGTAAGTATATTATGTATATTATTTGCATAAAACTACTTTCAAATCAAGCATTAGTTATGCTTTTAAGTTCTGTATGAAAACTTCCTTTAAGTTATTGAAGAATCTAGAAATAATATATACTGATAGTGTTATGACTTTATAAAAGAAGGCCGTTGCCAATTCGTTATGATTTTATGTCCGGCTCTTTATCACGTGAATTATCCACCAATCGAAATATGACTTTTCTAATCTTAACACTGACAAATCAATGACATTCGACCAGTATGAGTAGTCTAGCATCTTTATTGGTCCCTTGTCCGCCTAGCCCTTCCAATTGAGTCCAGAACACCGACTGCAGCTTCTGTTATGCGAATCTATAAGAATCATTTATTTTAAGCATACTCGGTTTGTATACTAGACAGACAGACCACATTACACCATAAAATAAAAAATAATATTTGTACAAGATCAAACCAAATGTGGCTGTGAACGTGGGAGACAATAATCAATAAAATGACTATAATTTAGGGACAGTAAATCGTATAATAACAAACAATAAGTCAAAATGAAGCTTATAATCAGATGAATATAGATATACACAATCTAGTTACACCGTTGGCATTCAACGGTGTTAATGTCTAACTTCAACTGAACCACAAAATTGAGCAACTATTAACCATTGCCTTAAGTGAGTTACTATCTCACAATAACTCCACTGATCAATGTTTTTCTTTTGATGATTTTGATTATCACCCTGGAGAAGTTCAAACAAGCTAGTTAGACGAAACGTTGGAATGATTTAAATTTTAATCACTGAAATTATTTCAAATATAATCTTCACATATAATGACTTCTCTATACTCGGCGCCCAGTTTTTGTTAAGCTATTCGTTCTAATCTAGACGAATATTTGTATATAATATGCCTTTATTCATCTATGATTTACTTTCTTTTCTTTTTTCTAATACAACAAAACAAAAATCAATTAATTATAATAATTTTACTAATAGACTGGTGATGGTGTAAATGATGCACCAGCATTAAAGAAAGCAGAAATTGGTATTGCTATGGGAAGTGGTACAGCTGTAGCTAAATCAGCAGCTGATATGGTATTAGCTGATGATAATTTCAATTCAATTGTATTAGCTGTTGAAGAAGGACGTGCTATTTATAATAATATGAAACAATTTATTCGTTATTTAATTTCATCAAATATTGGTGAAGGTTAGTTGATCTTATTTTCATGATGTCGACTTTCTAATAGTGTTCGAATATGTAACATGATTCTTTACTGTAGTTCATTTATTTAGTTACGTCTGCTACCCTTCATGGAGGAGTATAAGTCACTCACCGGTATTCTTCATCCAACTTTGTCTTGGACAATTCTTTCTACCTCTTTCCAGTTGTTATTCATCCTTTTCATGTTTGCTTCTAAGTCTCGACACAGTGTGTTCTTTGACCTTTCTCTTTTCCGTTTCCCTTCATGATTTCAAGTTAGGGCTTGCCTCGTGATGATTTCCGTAATTTATGTCCTATCCACTTCCAACGTATTTTCCTAATTTCCTTTTCAACTGGTAGCTAGTTTGTTCTCTCCCAAAGTAGGTTGTTGTTGAGGGTAGTTTATTATAGGATCATTTCAAGTTATTTTCACTTAATTGTTTTTCCCGTATTGACTGTTACTTAACTGGCTTAGACAACAGTTAATTAGAAAATGAATTTCCTTACCCTCTCTTAAATACTGTTTCAAACTTCACAAACGACATATTTTGGAACTATTTAAAAGCTGTAGCCAATGCAAAAGTTGAATAACATTAAAACAGCTGTGATATAAATTTATTATTCACACCCAGTATTGTATTAATGAACAACCTTATACACTTATCCCTTTGTTTTCTTGAAACCTGTCATCAAGAGTTTGTGTAATGAATACCATTTTAATAACAATGAGCTCTTGTAATCACGCTATCACTAGTTCACATGGTTACAACCAGAAATAATTTTTCAAAGTTGAAATCATGAGTCAATTGAAGCTAGACCACCATGGAAAACCTGGAAGCACTGCTTGACGGCCGTTTCGTCCTATTGTGGGACACCTCAGCAATGCGCATCCACGACCCCACTCTCGCGAGATTCGAACCCAGGACCCACCATTCTCATATGCTCATATGCTCACTAGTAACTGACTTCAAGATACATGTTCTGGAGTTCTAGTGGGAAGCAGTGACCACTGGAGTTCAACCACGTCTGTTGTGAGATAACAACTCACTGAAGGCAATTGGTGAATGGTCGCTCATAATTCGTGGATCGGTTGAAGTTAGACATTAACACAGTTGGATGCCAACCGGCTCAGTGGTCTATCGGTTAATGGCTCTGGCTCGAGACTGGTACGTCCTGGGTTCGAATCTCGCGAGAGCGGGGTCGTGGATGCGCATTGCTGAGGAGTCCCATAATAGGACGAAACGGCCGTCAAGCAGTGCTTCCAGGTTTTCCATGGTGGTCTAGCTTTTATTGGCTCATGATTTCAACTTTGAAAAATACTAAAATCTCCACAAATCCCGTTCAGAAATAATTTGTTTTACAAAGGGTCATATGTTTATATATTTGACGAAAAATGTCCACTTAAACATATTGAGGACATATTTTGGTAAAATTCAAACCAATCACTATTTTTCTACATGCTGATGGTCATACCCCCAAAACTTACCTTCAGGGGGGGAAGAGAGCCCTCAAATGCCCGGGTGCGGCCGAGAGTGAGGAGAGTACGCTCTCCTTCTCGAAATGCTCTCACATGTAGCGTCTGCCACGGAAGTCCTACTCACTGCATTCTCGTGGCCACGGTGTTGTTTACGAAATTGAGAGGACGAAAAGCGAATGTTCGGCGCATTAACCTGGTTGGTGGACACGGAAAGTCCACCTAGGGGAATTGAAAAACCCTGATTCCAAACCAATGGTGCACATGGGCTCCAGGCTGCTGAAGGAACAAATGGCGTATGAACCAGTTGTTGGTCACCGGCTACCATGGGACTGCATCTCCTCACGATGCTCGACTGCCTTGTGGATCAGACCTTTAGTTCAAAGGCTCGGGGTGTGGTCCCCTAAGAAAACCACCTGCTTCAGTTTTGGCACCTGGACAGTATCACAGCCCTCACACAAGTCAAATGAGATTTGTGTGACGCATATATATCTGGTGCCCCTTTGTACCAATATTTATGTGTTTAAATAAATAAATAAATAAATAATGGTAAGGTGAAAACTATAGTCGCTTTTATGTCAGACGCAAAAGTCCATCATTTTAACATAAATAAAATTGTCGAATTCGTTTATTATTTATTTCGGTCATTGTAATGCATTAAATATGGATTCATAATCATAGGTCCTAATGACTAAGTTATTGGTAAAAACTGTTCGTTTAAATATTCTTTGTATGGAAATACTGTGTAGGGGATTTTCAGACCAGTAAAAGTGGTTCAATCAAACTTCTCAGGTTCGAACCCAGCGTGCGGGATTAGAGATGCACACCGCTGAGGAGTCCCATACTAGTACGAGACGGGCGTTCAGCGCTCCCAGGTTTTCAATGGTGGTCTAACATTGATGGGTTTATGATTTCAATGGAATTCAACAATCTCCACAACCCCAAACTGAAAATTAATGTATCTAGTATTTTTCAGTTTTATTAGTTTAACTACATAACACATCAGAATCCCGTGCATGTGGAAATATAATCCATAAAGTGAATGAATGATGAAGCTCAATGTTTTGGTAACTTTTTTCCGGTGAATAAATGCCAATGAACAATGATATCTGTATTTCACTCCTTCGAAAAATGTGACTGTTTTTCACGTTTGATCTAATTAAATATATAGTTTATTGATCTCTATTTATGTGGAACTTCTTAAAACCTATGATACTTTCAACAGTTCTATTCAGAAAAAATTTCCTATAGATGTGTTTGTATTGTTAGTATATCTATCATGCGATCAATTTATTAACATAACCAAATATTAGAACAAATTTCTTTCTAATTTATTCCACCAGTAATCAGAAATGTATTTACTTACTTACTTATTTGCTTACTTACTTTCGCCTGTTACTCGCAATCGAGCATAGGCCGCTGACCAGCATTCTACAACCCACTCTTTCTTTCTAGTTCTATCCAGTTTCTGTTCATTCTTCTCATGTCTGTCTCCATTTCTCAGTAAAATGTATTTTTTGGTCTTCCTCTTCTCCGCCTGTAGATCCTCAGGGGTCTACTGCCGGTCCCAAGTTCGGGTAAAGGAAGAGGGTTGGACATGGGGTTAGCAACCCTATCCCGTAGAAAACCAACTCACTAAAAAAACGCTAACCAGAAAAAATTATTCAAACCACTTAATCAAAAATGTATAAAATTAATTTTTTCTTTATTATAGTTGTCAGTATCTTTTTGACTGCTGCATTGGGTCTACCTGAAGCATTAATTCCAGTACAACTTCTTTGGGTCAATTTAGTCACTGATGGTTTACCAGCTACAGCTTTAGGATTTAATCCACCTGATTTAGATATAATGGAACGTCCACCAAGAAATATTAAAGATCCTTTAATTTCTGGTTGGTTATTTTTCCGTTATGTTGCAATTGGTGTTTATGTTGGATGTGCAACAGTTGGTGCAGCTGCTTGGTGGTTTAGTCTTTATCCTAAAGGACCACAATTGAATTATTATCAATTGGTAAGTGTAATAAGAAATGACCACAATTCTTCTTATGTTTTTTTAAGGAAATATAAAAGCAGTCTCTACATCTTTTTAATTAGACACTTTGAGTTTACTTCAGGTTATTTACTATTAAACCTTAAAGTTATTAATTCCTGTAAAGTTAAATGAAAGCTATTCATTCAGTTAAAACAGTAGTCATCTATCCTTTTAGTTTAAATCTGATAAATGTAAATGTCTTTGAAACTATAAACACCTTTTGCTCACGAGTAAAAAGTTAACACTAAAAATAATCAGACGAGGGTCTTGTGGAGATTTTAGTAATCTCATATGGTTTAGATCATGAGTCAATTGAAGCTAGACCACCATGGAAAATCTGGAAGGACTGGACGGCCGTATCGTCCTATTTTAGGACTCATCAGCAGTGCGCATCCATGATCCCGCCTCACGAGATTCGAACACAGGACCTATCAGTCTCGCGCGCGAGCTCTTGACCGATAGACCACTGAGCCGGTTGGCATCCAATGGTGTTAATGTCCAACTTCAACCAATCTACGAATTTAAGCAACCGTCCACCATTGTCTTCAGTGAGTTGATACCTCACAACAGACCTGGTTGTGCCGGAGGATTTAGAAACACACCAGTTACCACTTTTCATTTCTGGTCGTTAATATTCCCCTTTTTATGCACAACAACAACAAGAAATAAGACTAGAATGAATCAAAACACCATGTGAAAGGATAATGTTCTGATGCATTGTAAAAAATTTTTTGAAATTAGTCCGATATGAAGATACATTTTGTAGGAAATTATTACTAGCTAGATAATCAGGAAACATCTGGGAACTCTCAGCAAACACCTCATTCTAGTTTGAAATTCCTCAATAATGAACATTTACAAACATGACAGAGACTGTTTCCAGCACTTAAAGGTCTTACGTTATTCACTAGACGTTAATATTAAGAAGTGAAAAATCAGACATGTTTCACTGGTGATATTGATAGTCTTCAAACTATTTCACAAGTCAACTAAAGCTAGAAAAGTAGACTATGAATTTCAACTTAATAGTCTAAAATCAACGCTCTCACCTTATAGCCTAAAGGTTTTTAGGTGTACATTACTGAAAAACTGTGCTCTTTTGAGGATGAAACTTTAAACTATTAGTATCAAAAAGTATTTTCACAAAAATTTATATCATTAAATATCATCTTGTAAACTAAATATCATAGATATAATTAAAATTTACATTCACATCATTATGATCTGTAAATTAGTGTAGTACAATGCTTCACTAATCTTTCACCTCTATAACCATTATAATACAAATCTCAACGATGTATGAAATCAGAAGGTAAAGAGAAGCTACAACTACAGTTTATTATCAAATGATGCAGACCATAAAGCTATAAGCACATGAGTAAGTATCAGGGAGCAATCGCAAGCAATTACATAGGCAGATTTATAGTCAAATTGTATGAGGGCGCAGTAAGACAAAACAAAAGCTAATAATAGGATTTCAGTGCATACATATATGGGGAGGCTATCAGCAACACTCTAGTGCCAGAAAGGGCAAACCAGATTTCAGTGGAGGAAGAAATCCAGAAGAAGAGCTGAAAGTGGATAGGATACACACTGAGAAAATCACCCAACTGCGTCACAAGGCAAGCCCTAACGTGGAATCCTCAAGGCCAAAGGAAAAGAGGAAGATCAAAGAACACATTACGCCGAGACATGGAGACAGACATGAGAAGAATGAACAACAATTGGATAGAACTAGCAAAGAAAGGCCCAGGACAGAATGGGTTGTAGAATGCTGGTCGGTGGCCTATGTTCGATTGGGAGTAACAGGCGTAAGTAAGTAAGTAAGTAAGTATATAAGGGGAGGAGAATGAATCATCGAATGATATCTAAACAATCAACGTTTTAGCTCGAGTCTGTCATGTGCTCTAGTGATCATAACAGTACAAACATATATATGCAAATTGTTACTATCCAAATGACAATATCTGTTAAGTAAGTTAATAAAAAAGGGTTTAATTAAAATTAACCATAATTGAAATTGGTTGTATGATAGTTGCTATATTAGCATCGACCTGTTACCAAGTCATAGAAGAAGAAGAAAAAGAAAAAGAAGTAATCACAATTATTCAAATGATTGACATTTTATTGAAGGTCAGGTTTGTATTTTATATCCATCTATTTATTTATTTATTTTAATTAACCGAACAAATGCATAGATTTCATTACATCACTTTTATAATGATAATCAAATTCATTCAATGGTTTCAATAATTGACATTTTCATTTAAATAAACAATATAAATATAAATATCTTCAAAGAAATGGAATGTATTCAATTATTTTATTAACCTAAAAGTACATTTTATATCTTCATTCAACACATCAATCCAAGATAAATGATAAAACAAACTGATTAAAATTATTAGAAGGGGGTTTTGTGAAGGTTTTTAGTATTTTCATAGTTGAAATCATGAATCAATTGAAGCTAGAAAACCATGGAAACTATGGAAGGACTGGAAGGTCGTTTTGTTCTATTGTGGATCTCCTCAGCAGTGCGAATCCACGATCTCGCCTCACGAGATTCGAACCTAGGACCTATCAATCTTGCGCCAGAACACTTAATCAACAGATCACTTAGCCGGCTGGTATCCAACAGTGTTGATGTTTAACTTTTTTTATAGTAGAAATCATTAGTCAATTAAAGCTAGACCACCATGGAAAAACTGGTGAATGGTTGCTCAATTTCGTGGATTGTTTGAAGTTAAACATTAACACCATTGAATGCCAGCTGGCTCAGTGGTCTAGTGGTTATGCACTCGCGCTCGAGACTGATAGGTGCTGGGTTCGAATCTCATGGGGCGTGATCACGGATTCGTACTGTTGAGGAGTCCAGTGCTTCCATGTTTTCCATGGTGGTCTAACTTCAATTGATTCATGATTTCATCTATATGAAATTACTAAAATCTCCACAAAACCCCCTTCTGTTAAACTGAATAATTCTTGAACATATTGTAAAAGTCAGTAGATATTTTAACCAGAAGAGGTTTGTGGAGATTTCAGTATCTTTCAAAGTTGAAATCATGAGTCATTTGAAGCTAAACCACCATCGAAAACTTGGAAGCACTGCTTGACGGCCGTTTCGTCCTATTATGGGACTCCTCAGCAGTGCGCACCCAACGATCCCGCTCTCGCGAGATTCGAACCCAGGACCTACCAGTTACGAGCCAGAGCCCTTAACCGATAGAACTATCGGTTATGACATGTCGACAAATAGATCCCATTAAAGGCAACACGTATTAAATTCATTTTAGTATTGTTTGTTTGAATCTTCCCATCGATTTGTTAGGACTGCAATTGATCAGTCTCTAATTGGCATATGTGCATACTGTGCGTATTGCCTCAATATAGCCTAAATTCACAAGCATTGTAAACAAAGATGGATAGTGGCTAGCAGTGGAATCCAGGACATGCGTTTCGTCCTATTTGAGACTCGTCAGCTGGATGTGATTGCATCTCAGAATTGATATTCAATGTGGGACTCGAACCCAATACCTTTCGCTTCAAACGTCATCACGTTATCCAATCGGCCACTAAGTCCTGATAGCCACTTGCCAAGTGGATAACGCGATGGTGTTTGAAGCGAAAGGTATTGGGTTCGAGTCCCAGAGTGAACATCAACTCTGAGACACAGGTACATCCAGCTGACGATTCTCAAATAGGATGAAACGCGCTTCCTGGATTCCACTGCTAGCCACTATCCATCTTTGAAAATAGATTTATTTATTTACAGAAGACCTAAATGTTCTGAATATTTCTAGAAGATAGAACTAAATAAGTAATAAGTTATCTATCGACTTCATCTACCTCTCTATTGGCAAATAATATTTCAGGTTTATTACATCTATTTTGATGAGTTTTCAAATGATCATATTGACATGCTTCTAGTCAATGTTTTGACTAAACTTTACAAAATGAGTGCTTTTTAATACATGAATATCTTTCAGTTGATTCAGTGAGCATAATCAGCACAAAGAAATCCAAAATACATAGTTGATCTCTTATTTCAGAATCTGGAAATCTTCTTACTTTTAAATCTCAAAAACAATTTTTTCCCTTTTCATTTTACTGATTATCATTTCATTCATAGACTCATCATATGCAGTGTTTGGCTGAAAAGGATAACTTCCATGGAATCGACTGTCATATATTTGAAAATCCTAAACCAATGACTATGGCATTATCTGTTCTAGTGCTTATTGAAATGTTTAACGCCTTGAACAGGTACCTTTTTTTATGTTGCATTTTATGATAAAAACTGATGAATTTATTTTATTTTTTTTAAATTCTTTATTTTCTCCTAAACATAGACTCATCAGTCTCAGTGTCTAGCTCAGGAATCTCGTTTTGAAGGTGTAGACTGTTCTATTTTCAGTCATCCAAAGCCTATGACAATGGCTTTATCTGTTCTGGTTCTTATTGAAATGTTAAACGCTATGAACAGGTGAGTAGGCCGTCCACGTATATACACACATTTCCATAGACATTTTACTACACAATCAATCAAAATCACATATTCATCTATAAATTCCATTCAATCAGTGAAACAAACTTATCACAAAAAACAAACCATTTTATTTCTATGAATTTTTGCATGCGGTTTAACCCAACCTTTTATCCCTTATAATTTTAAAACAATTGCCTACTATTTCATGCTGAACAAAGGGGCTCCTAGGGTGATAATGCAATTATTAATAATAACTTAATTCCTTACCAGGACATTGTGGTTCATCTTAAGAAAATATGATTATACAACACTTAATTCTAGACACTGTGAAAAATTATAAATAGAATAAGTACGTATATGTTTGGCGTATAATGCATTCACCGTGGAGCCCTTATTAATTACTGTAGTAGGCTGCCACTAAGATTCTTTAATTAGATTAAAATATGGAAGCCCCTTTGCTCGGCTGAATAAGTAGGTATTTTATTTCAAAGAAGCTTCTTAAACATAATATACACACATTTGAACATACATTTATTTACAAAGAAATTCATAGTGGCGGCCTACTCAGTAATCCACAGCGTTATTTCATTAAGTTTATTGTGTTATTTGCGCATGCTGATATATTGTAACATTTTGATCTACTTTAAAAGGATATATGTATATTACCAGAAGGGGTTTTGTGGAGATTTAGTAGTCCTGCGCAGGTCCTGGGTTCGAATCTCGCGAGGCGAGATCGTGGATGCGCACTGCTGAGGAGTCCCATAATAGGACGAAACGGCCTTCCAGTGCTTCCAGGTTTTTCATGGTGGTCTAGCTTCAATCGACTCACGCTTTCAACTATGAAAATATATATATATGTTTGCTACTTTTCTGGTACTTCTATATTTTGACGTACATTTCAAAGAATACCATTATTTCCTACTATTATTATAATCCTACAATTTCAAACTGCAATTACCAATGTAATTTTAAAATCTGATTTTCAAGAAGTTTTCTGAAATCAGGTAGAACTTAAGGAGACTAATTGATGGAGGCATGGAAGGAGATTAAAGTATTAGCAGTATAAATTTCCTCTAAAATTGGGATATAAAAGTGTCTGTTAGTCATTGTGAGTAAAATAGTTTAATATGGATGTACCTTTTATATTTTTACTCTAAGAATTTAGGAACGCTGATTTTATTGAGTTTACTAATGATCAGTTTGCTTTAAGCCAAATAGTACTAGTGATCTTTGCTCTAAGAACTTGCTCACCAAGTATGATGATTCTAATTGACCTAAAAATCTTCATGAGTCCTTGGAACCTCCCTAATCTGGTCATGAGAAAAACTAGCCGATTTACTCTGTGTATATCATAACTCAAAGCTTACATCAAGTGAAAAACCACAACAAATAATAAATAAAAAACCTTCACCTATCTAGACTATTTGTGGCATAAAACTAAGTAACAGGTACTAAATCAGTTCACTTCAGTCCATGAATAGTAAAAGAAATATTAGTAGTCAGTAATTTAAAAGAAAGTTTGCAATTAGATTAATATAAAAATACCATTTACCGTAGCTGCTACCTTGATGTGGTGGTCGGGCTTGCCTATTGTGATGACCCAACTGAGCTATATTCGATGGAACATATGTTCCTGTAGGTTCTACCATGTCAGACAGGTCGATTTGAGAACGGTAAGACTAAAAGCAGTAACTTAAGGTGTGTGGGCGAAGTCGTACTGCTGACTGTAGAGGGGTGTGACAACAGTAAGGTGTTTCCCTCAGACAACCAGTGTCTGCAGCGATGCTCATAACCGTAACAGCACACGAGACCAAGTTGGTCACAATCAAATCCTTCCTACACCTCCTAATACCTCCCTTATCTCCACGACTAAACCTTCTCATGTTTCTTTATCACCTCGCACCGCTAGCGCAAACGATTCGAGTATGCGGAATGTTGTTCCTGGTCTCCTGAAACCACGCTCTAAACTACATGTAGGAACGTTTAACGTCCGAACATTGTGCCAAATAGGACAACAGGCTTCCTTGGCTAAGACTTTAAAATCGCGCACAATCGATGTGTGCTGCGTCTCCGAAACGCGCATACAAGATCCGAGTAGTGTCATTCATTTGACCTCACCATGTCATAATAAAAAACTAACTCGATTCATGCTTCGTGTATCTGGAAGCCCTGATGCTGCTTTTCGTGGCCTCGCTGGCGTAGATATAACATTGAGTCCTAGGGCAGAACTAGCTCTCTTAGACTGGATCCCAGTAGACAGTCATTTGTGTACTGTCTGACTAAACGGAACAGTAAGGACTAGGAAAGGTAGGTACCCTTGTCGTTGCTTCTTCGTCTTCTCTGCCTACTCTCCCACTGACTACAGCTCAGATAATGTAAAATATGAGTTTTACACAAAACTTTCCGACCTTCTCCGAAACCCTAGGCTAGTGATTTCAAACAACTAGTAAGTTTTTTTAAAACGTGTTTTAACAAAAAGTAAATGATTTTTTACATTTTATAAACATTGATTTCACTTCATTTTAGTTATGATCCCTAATAAGTCATTTTTAAACTTTCACTATAGATACTAACTAACTTTATAAACTAGAAAATAGAGTGAATTTGGGAAAACCATATAACAACAACAGCATATCTACTAACCTTAAAAGTTACTTTCAAAAATAACCTATAATCAACTATTATTAATTGTGACATATGATGAATAACATTTAAGAATAGATAAATGTTAAATAATCATTTGATCATTGTTGACAATCATCATTTCCTTGATTGGATTATGTTACTAACTATCTAGTATCTATGATATATATGTATGTATATACATACATACATAACTAAAACTTCGACTAGTTATTCATTCATTCAAAGATAAAGAAAATGTCATATATTTTTTGCATCATATGTTAATAAGTAATTTTTAAATAGATAAAACTAATGAACATCGATATAAGTAAAGATGGTGG